TCCTGAAATCCCGCAGAAAGCTTTCCCTGCTCTAGAAAAGAAAGATCTCACAAACAGTATTTTGGGACAAATCTACTGAAATTTGTAGATTAATCTTCCTCTCCAAACCCCTTTATGAATCCAGTCTTGGGATCTTAAAGCAGCATAATTTTGGATAATCTGTGACACTGAGTGTCTGCTTCTGTATTCTAATATTTCCTGCCTGTTTAAAGACTTCTCTCTCTCTCTCCTCCGCCCCCCCCCAAAGAAGTTCATTATTGCTTCACTCTTAGATTTACAGAGGAGGTTGCTTTGTCACAGGTGGAGAAGTTACCATTCCAAATCTTTTCTCATACAGAAGAGAAGATCCTCCTAGAAAAGTTTTGGTGCCTTCATTCATCAGAAACAATGTGACAAGATCACTTTAAAGATAGTATCACCATTAGTACAGCAGAAGCTCCCAGTCTTCAGACTATGCAATACTAAGAGTTCTCTGGGAATTATTAAAATACTAATGCTTGAAAACATTAATTTTATTTAGTCTACTGCTAAACTCTAGCAGTCTTCCCAGGATTTCAAAAACCTGTGTTTACTCCCAGTGCATATTTGTTATGTAGTTATATCTGTTTTTCACTTACTTGTTCAAGAATCATTGATGTTTCTTTGTCTCAAATAGCAAGAAAGTTTTGCGGGTTTGCTCCATCCCTATTCCCTGATAAAACAACCATTTCGCCTACGGGAGTTGACTTTGGTACTTGCAAGATGCAGTGGATTACTATCAGACTTTTTACGTCATATCCACTTCATTTTTTGCTGCTGTCGTTTGTCTCTGGTGGATGAGAAGCAAGAGCTTATTGCTAATTCACTTTTCACAGTGGTTCCTTAGCATTGCCCTGAAGAGATGCTGAAAGAGATCCAAGACAATCCTAGGAAGGGAGAGTTGCCAGAATAAATCCTACAAGTATTCTTCTAGTCTGGTCTCCTCCTTCCAAATATGGCTTTGAAAAAGATGCAAAAGATGCTACAACAATCAGATATGGGATGACTTGTCTTCCAACTTAAGCTCTTTCTAATCAGTAATGATATCTTATCCAAAGTCCAAAGTGTATGATTAATTCTTCTCCTAATATATTTTTTTTAATTTTGGGTGTCTATTCTATCCATATACATAAAAAATATTTTAAATCTTGCTAAATTATAAATTCTGATGACTCAGACGATATATTGCACAGTTTAAATAGGTGTTTTGTGAAAACTTGTTATCAGTTTTGAGTGTTTTTAATGTAACTCCATGTCCCTTTTTCCTGATTAATGAGACACAAAATGGAAGTTTCTGATTATTTCTATTTTTACAATTAAAACTCTTATATTTTCTCACCTCTGAAATAAATAATCCCAGTCTTCTGAGATTCACTTTCTACAACTAGTTATACTCTATCTCCAGTCATCAGGGCCATTATTTCAATTGGATTTTATATGAGAATGTAGCATTGTATTTTTTTAAATCAAGTACATAAGGAACAGTGAGAACTTAGAACCGAGTTTTACCCATAATGCCTAGCTGATACAGTTAATTTGGACCATGGGAGAGTGAACTGTCACTCCCCATTTTCCATGATCAGTCCCTGTGTTGCCTTCAATTTATTAAAATAGATTTTAATCTGTTACCCCATTGGTCATTTAACTCGGAGCTTTAGACTGTCTTCACAGCCCTCCCTGGACTTGAACAACCAAAAGTATTCCAGACTGTATTTCACAAATTTTGTCACTTCAGTTGCTCACCCATTTTTTTTCAAGTTATTGAGAAATAAATGAAAAAAATATCAGCTAGCACTTTGGTAGCCCACTTCTCCATATCCACCTTAACTTGAATATTACAATGGAAATTCACTGTTTATTTCTATTCTTTGGCTTCTGTCTCTCAGACTGTTTTTTGTTTCATGACAGTATTTCGCTTCTCACCTCATGGGTTCTTACTGAGGTATTTTTTGTAATGGTCCTTGTCAGAGGTCTCTGGAGTTCTAAATGTGAGATACTAGGCTCCTCTTATTAGATATAAAACCTTTGCTACCTTAAGGAAAAGTAACACCTTTTGTTAGGGCATTTGGAATGTATGGCTTTGTACTCATTAAGTATATGTAGAAACTAATACCCAATATCACTCAATAAACTGTGCCACTGCAACATGCCCTACCAGAGGGCCACGTGCTTTATTCCAGCAGAGACACAGCAACTTTCATTACACGTTTGCAAAATATTTACTTTCTAAAAACCAGTGCTGGACCTTACTTCATATCTTCACTTAATATAGAAAAATCAGATACTTAATTTCCTCCTTGAATGAATAATTTAGGTTCTAGGCTCAGGCTGGTCATAAATATATTCTCCCCCCAAAAAATTTTTTGGGCCATCACCTGAAATATCAAGCAACAACATGAACAAACAATTAGATACTCTACTGCTACTATTAAATTTGAAAAATAATAAAGTTGGACATTTGATTTTAAAATCCAGTAGGTTAATATAAGCAATTTTCCTTTCTCCATCAAAAAGGGTCCTCTTCCACGATGACTGAAAAATAATAACTGAATTAATAGGTAACAGAACAAAAATAACTCACGGTGCATAATTAACAACCTTGCAACTGCAGGCACTCTTTAAACCAGCTTTGAGATAGGCTAAATAACGAGGACCTAATCTTCATGCAAATGAAGTTTCTGCATTTTAGATAGAACTATTCTTTACCCCTTGCCATATTTATTTTGAAGACAGATGAAAGAATTCATCAGTTTTCTCTTTTTTTTCAAAGTAATTAACATCCTAAAATGGAATTGCTATCTCATGTCTAGAAATTACACTTTGCAAGTCTGCTGAGAAACAAAATTCTATTTAAGGAACTTGAAAAGTAACCAGGTTGGACAGGCCCTGCCAATGTTCATCAAATCATGATTTAGAGATGCTCTGAGTCACAGGTTATATACCTATCATTTTTAAAAACTCTCAACAGACCATTGCTGCATTAATCGGGTAGTACACGTGCTGTTTGTTTTCACAAAACTCTGCAGCACTGAGACTAATCTACTATGCAGTTATGCATTAAAAATTTCTGTATTTTAAATCTTCTTCCTCATAATTTTACTGCATGATAGTTAAATGCATAGTTCTTGCATGAGGAGGTTTTTTTTTTTTCACAATGGTCATTCTC